ACTATGTCAACCAACAGACGTTGTTCAACCTTGGAGCAACAAAATCAACAGCATACACTGTTGAACTATCAAAACCACTTGAGCAAGACCCTCAGAGCATGCTTCACATCGGGGACCCTGTGATGACATTGGGCAGCCATCCCCAGGTACTGATGCGGTTGGGCTACTGGGAGCAGCCCTCTCCCCTTCCCTTCCCACTTTCCCTAGACACAGGAAGAAAAAAGCAGATTGGAAACAGTTTTGTCATTGACTTTCCCCCATTCCTTGACCTCACCACCCTAAGCAGTGGTCCACACGGGCATGCATCCTTCTTAATGATGTAATCATCATAAAAAGAAACTAACCCTTTGTCCTCATCCTTAGTCTCAACAAATTCTACTTACTCTTTTGCTCTTCACCTTAACATCAAGTTTTAGACAGAACTGCCCTCTCACCTAATGTCACACATATTTTGCTAAAAACAAAATATCCTCACATTTTCTTGTGATTCACCTCAGCTGTGAATCACTCATTTGTATGATTTGATAACCTAACTCCCTGGATTGGTCCCCAAAGGCAGTCTATGAGCACTTTTGTTCTGGGCTGTATTCCCAGTGCCTGGCATGCAGAACGCACTTAGGAAATATCTGCTGAGTTAGTGTCTGGGGGCGGGTATGTACCATGGGGGATGCTCTCATTGCACATTGCCTGCACACCATGAAGAATACTGGCTCAAGTCCCAGCTCCTCTACTTCCCAGCCAGCTTCCCACAACGCGCTACCTGGGAGGTAGCAGGTGATAGCTCAAGTCTGTGCATCCCTATCACTCACATGGGAGACCCGTATAGAGTTCAGGCTCCAGGCCTCAGTCTGGCCCACCCCAGGCTGTGGTAGGCACTAGGGAGTGAAACAGCAAATGGAACACCTCTCTGTATCTCTCTCTGGCTTTCTAATTAGAAAAGAAGAAGGAAAATAAAGGAGATGAGGAACAAGAGGAAATAAACAAGTATACTTTTGAAAATAAAAATTAGACTTTAGAAAGTTCTACTACCTGTTTTGTATCATAGTCTACATGTAATAGCCTTAACTCATAATAAGCACAGCCATAAACACTATTCTTCACAAAGAAGGGGGCCAACCCTCACAGAGCATTTAAGCGGAATTCAAACAGGAAGAAGGGAAAACAAGGCTAATAGAGCTAATTCATACTAATGCTGACATGCAGTACTTAGTACAAGGCAAACATAAGCTTTTATTTAAGCTCTACATATATTAACATTTTAATTCTCAAAACAACTCTGAGTAAAGCATGACTATCATCATCATTTCAATTGAGGAGAACAGGAAGAGAAACACCAAAAACTGAAAGACGCCCTCAAGAGTCCCGATGCTTGCTGATCTCGGAGCAGTTCCCCACGGCTACTGCAACAAGTCACTTGCCAACACTGTGGCTTAAGCCAGCAGCTGTGCAGCATGTCAGAGGCCCGCCATCAGGCTGGACAGCAGGGCCTCCCTCTGGGAAAGGCCCTGAAGAGCCTTCCTGGCTGCTTCCAGCTGTCGGGGCCTCACAGCTCTCAGGTCAGCCTCCCACTTCTGCCAGCCTTCCTAGATGTGGCCGCGGCCTCTCCTCTTCTAAGGACACTTGTCCTTGGAGTCAGCACCACCCTAAAGCCAGGATGCCTTCCTCTCTAGATTCTTCATTGACTTACATCTTCAGCACATTTCCATAAAGGTCCCATTCACAAGTACTTTTTTTAACTGCCCCAATGAGAATTATGTCATTCATATGCCATACATACAGTATGTCCACTTAAAATGCCTACTGTGTGAAGGAGTCCAGTGTGATAGGACACTGGCTAAAATCCTCGCCTTGAATGCGCCGGGATCCCATATGGGCACCGGTTCATGTCCCAGCTGCCCTACTTCCCATCCAGCTCCCTGCTTGTGGCCTTGGAAAGCAGCTGAGGACAGCCCAAGACCTTGGGACCCTATCCCATATGGGAGGCCCGGAAGAGGCTCCGGGTTCCTGCTTTCAGACTGGATCAGCTCCAACTATTGCAGCCACTGGGGGAGTGAATCAGCAGATGGAAGATCTTCCTTTCTGTCTCTGTATATCTGCCTTTCCAATAAAAATAAATAAATCTTTGAAAAAAAAAAAAAAAGAATCCATGTGAAAAGCCTTTCAAGAAGAAGCCCTAAATGCAACTACTATCACTCCTCAGCAATACTTGCTGTTGTCCAACTTTTCAATCAAGACATTCTACTGGACAGACTAATGATGCTGGACATCTTGTATTTACTGGCCACCTGCATATATTCCTTGAAAAGTGTCTATTCAGATGCTATTCCCACTTGAACTATTTGTTTTTATGTTGGAGCTGGAAGAGGTAAATGCTACAGGTACAAAGAGAAAAGTTCATTAATGCCCATCAATGATTTGAAAAGGACAGAATCTGCTTTGCCAGTTCAGGGCAAACAGTCTCCATCAAACTCCTACTACTTCCTCCATTTAGACAGCAAGTACCACTGCTCCTAACAAACACACAAACCATTGGAAAATGCCTACACCAAATGGACGTGTTATCCCAAAAAGTTAACATCCATATCTTCAAAATAATTACTAACTGATTTATGCCAGCATGACTAGTACCATAAATTGTTCACAACTCCAGAGGTAAGAGGCCATCTTTCCCAGATTCTCTACAAAACAAACAATCAAATCTCCCCAACAGAGCAACTAAATCACTTGGGGACAACCTATAAGTCCACTAAACTGAGAGCAATGTCAGTCTGAGGAGAGTGAGCAAGCATTAAGCATCCCCCCAACTGCCCTGTGAACACCCAGGGGAGTTGACACAGTCTCATACAACATTGCTGCCATCTCCACATAGCCTTCCAACCATGGGGGGAGAGGCGACAGAAGATCCTGAGTCCACGGGCAACATCATTGTGGCATATGGGGTTGCCACTGCCTGAAGAGCTGGCATTTCATTTGGGTGCCAGTTCAATTTCCAGCTATTCGGCTTCCAATCTAGCTCCCTGATGTACCTGCAAAAGCAGCAGAGGATGAGTCAAATGCTAATGCTTGGACTCCTGTAACCAGTGAGAGACCTGGATAAAGCTCCTGCTTTCTGGCTTGGGCCTGGCCTATCCCTACCCACTGCAGCAATCTGGGCAGTGAGCCAGCAGATATGCTTCTCTTTGTTTCTTCTAACTCCAGCTTTCAAATAAATAAATAAACAAAAAAATTTTTTAAATGCTAAATCCTACAAATAGCCTCTTCCAAATTAACCAAGCCTACTTTTTGTTTTTTACAAAGATCTATTAATTTTTATCAGAAAGGTAAATTTACAGAAAGAAAGAAAGAGAGGAAGATCTTCCATTTACTGGTTCATTCCCCAAGTGGCTACAACAGTTGGAGCTGAGCTGATCCAAAGCCAGGAGTTTCTCCTGCGTCTCCCACGCAGGTGCAGGGTCCCAAGGCTTTGGACCCACCTTTACTGCTTTCCCAGGCAGAAGCAGGGAGCTGGATGGGAAGTGGGGCAGCTGGGATTAGAAGCGGCACCCGTATGGGATCCTGGCACATGCAAGGTGAGGACTTTAGCCACTAGCCTACTGCACTGGGCCCGGCCAAGCCTACTCTTCACTGAGCACTGCACTTCTCAGCACTCGTTTTCAAGTCTATTATCCAGAAATCAACTATTTGATTTTATTTTCCCCTCATTTTTTTCTATATTTCTCAAGAATATTTTAGTATTCTCCTAGTTCTGGAATGATATTCCACCTTCAGTTACCACTCAAAAACTTGCACAAAATTTCCCTGATAATGAGAAAAACCAAATACTCTCATTCGGGCACTAACACAGGCTCTCCTGTCACATGAGTTGCTAAGAAAGTTTTACAAACCAAGAGGCCAGTGTCTCTCTCCTTCTGTCACTCTGCCTTTCACATAAATAATTTTTTAAAATTTAACAAATCCAAACAATAAGATTTAACTAGAGATAATATCATCCTACATAATACTGTCCTAAAATCACAGAAACACAAATGAAGGCCTAAAAAATAAATAAATAAAAGACTAGAAACTCCCTATAACTAAATTTTTCCTTAGGGTATACAGTGTATACAGTGTTCTGGGGTTATGTCCCAGGTTATGGCCAATAACTAATGTGTTTACAAAGTGCTTTGCAAAGCACTTTTCACTTACCCTACCTCATTTGAGTTTCTCAATTTAATAACAGGCTGTCACTGCTCACGTTTTAGGTGAGGAAACCAGCTTAAGCAAAGTAATTTGTCCCCAGTAGTACAACAGCATGTAATTATCTGAACTGAGACTCATGCTAAGCTTTTTATCTCTGAATCTACTCTTGTTCTAAGAATTGTTGTCTTTCAACACAGAAAGCTCTTCCCGATAACCTACCCTACCAGCATGGTCAACAAAGCTGTTAGCCCAGAAAAATCCACAGGGTGTCAAAGCAGAAGAACCCTGTGACCAAACTTGGGAAACACTCCAAGCCACCCATCAAACAGAGTCCCTGATGATCAAACAAGAGTTCCCCATTGCTACACATCTGTGTGTTAGTTGGATGTTAAATATACACATACAAAACAAAATTTACAATGGATTATGCTTATAATTCCACTAGTTATTCTAAGCTGACACATATTTAGCCATATAATCTTTTTTTAAGATTTATGAATTTTTTCAGAAAGATTTACAGAGAGGAGAGACAGAGAGAAGGATCTTCCATTTGGCTGGTTCACTCCCCAAACAGCTGCAATGGCCAAAGCTGAACTCAAGCACATGCAGGGTCCCAAGGCCTTGGGCGGTCCTTGACTGCTTTCCCAGATCACAAGCAGGGAGCAGGGAGCAAAGCGGAGCAGCCAAGATATGAACCAGCACCCATGCGGGATCCCGGGGCTTGCAATGTAAGGATTTAGCCACTGAGCCATCATATCAGGCCCCATATAATCATTTTTATACATCAAAATCCAAAAAACATTCTGAAGAAAAGGCCTTACCTGTTCTCCTGCTTCTTGAAAGTCCTTACATGCATCAGGGAAGACGTCATAGACAACGAGTGGATAACCATGTTTCATCAGATTCTTGGCCATTGGGTTCCCCATGTTGCCCACGCCGATAAATCCAACTGGAGTCTTAGAAGCCATTGACCTGGAACATACTGATTTCAATACATTATTTTTCACAAGTGCAGAGAACATGTTTTTATTGTAAATAATCATTTAGTATCAGGAAGTCAATTGTTAGTTTTCACAAAAGGTTTTAATATGTTAGTTTGAAACAAATGGCCTAATCACACTTAAAAATATCATCAACGGGCAAGCCAATTGAAGTCTAATAATTTAATTCTTTAGGAAACATAAAATTTTAAGCAAGTTCTCCTATTTTACACCTATTCAACATCTCTAACATTTTCAACAATAAACTCAATGTTATTTACAAAATCTCTTACGCACTTTTTACCTATTACATGAAACATCCTATACTCTTAAGCTCTATTATTCCCTTTACCAATGTATACAGAAGGCTGAAAACAATGAGATCTATAAGCAGGTATTATAAAAGTTTATGGGAAAATAGAACTAAAGTTTATATTGGTACAAAAAGTTTTTTAAAAATCATACATAATTTTCCCATATTGTATCATTTCTTTTTTTAAGGTTTATGTATTTCAGAGTTACAGAAAGAGAGAGGCAGAGTCAGAAAAACAAAAACAAAGAGATGTCCCATCCACCAGTTCACTCCCCTGATGCACAGCAGCCAGCGCTGGGTCAGCTGGAACTGGGAGCTTTATCTGGGTCACCCACGTGAGTGCAGGCCCCAAGCCTTTGAGCCATCTTCCAGTGCTTTCCCAGGAGAATGGCCAACACTTGGGCCAGCCCTCACAGGGGACTGGTAGAGTTGGAGATGGCGGCTTAACCCACTGCACCACAGTGCTTGGCTCCATAACACACATTTTCATGAATTTTTTGAAGACTCTTTCTTGGATGCATTTCAATTTTCTTTTACATTTATCTTTTAAAAGTTTGTATTATCTTTAAATTCCATTTTCCACAAACTTTTTGAAGTTACTTCATACTTTGATTGGGTCTGAGAAAGGGAAACTTTTCCTTCCCACTCCTACAATTACAGTCACCATCCTCTCCAGTGATATTAAAAAAAGGTTTAGAATTTTTTTTTTCAAATCTTTATTCATTGATTTGAAAGATAGAATTAGAAAGAGGGAGAGACAGACAGGAAGATCTTTCATCCACTGGCCACTTAGCTGGCCACAACAGATAAGGCGGGGCCAGGCAGAAGCCAGGAGCTTTTTCCAGGTCTCCAAGACGTGGGTGCGGAGGCCCAGGCGCTAGGATCACAGCTGCTATAATTCCCAAGCCAGGTCACAAGTTGGGCAGCCAGGACTCAGACCAGTGCCCTTACGGAATGCCTTACCTGTTACGTCACGAAGCCAGTACCTAATATTAAACCCTGGAGACCAAATTCCAACCAGAAGTCACCAGCTAATAAATGCAGATTTGGGAGAAGGGTAGGCAAAGCTTCCAGCGGTTTGAGGTACAAAGGGCAACAGTATAAGCATCATGGTCTATCAACGCTGTGTCTTCAGAAAAGAGGAACTTCCATTCACCCAAACAAAATTAATTCATCTCTCTTATCTATTGCGTTCTTCACAGAAGGTTTTTCAAAATCACACTGAGGCGGTCAGCGCTGTGGCACAGAAGCTTAAGCCACAGCCTGCAGTGTATACAGCACACCAGTTCAAGTCCTAGCTTTCCCACTTCCCATCCAGCTCCTAGCTCATGTGTCTAGAAAGCAGTGGAGGACGATTCAAGCACTTGGAACCCTCCCACCTATGTGGCAAACCAGAAGGAACTCCTGCATTCTGGCTTCAGCTGGGCCCAGTCCATTTTTGAGGCCATATGGGGAGTGAACCAGTAGACCAAAGACTTTTCTCCTTTCTCTGTAACTCTGTCTTTCAAATAAATAAATCTTTTTAAAAATCACTGGTGTCAGGGGAGGGTGGTGAAGAGGGGAGGACTATGTGACTCCATTGGCTAATCCTCTGCCTGCAAGTGCCAGAACCCCATATGGACACTGGTAAGTGTCCCAGCTGCTCCACCTTCAGCTCCCTGCTTGTGGCCTGGAAGAGCAGTAGAGGATGGCCCAAAGCTTTAGGACCCTGTACCCGCATGGGAGACCTTGAAGACGCTCCACATCCTGGTGTGGGATTGGCTCAGCTCTGGTTGTTGTGGCCATTTGGGAAGAAAACCAACAGGCAGAAGATCTGTCTCTCCTCTCTGTAGATCTGCCTTTCCAATAAAAACAAATTTTTTTAAATCACATTGGGACACACAATTCAAAATAACGCTTTCAAGAGTAAAGATCCTTTGTATCACCAGGAAAATAATAATGGGTGTAATTTTTCAATTTAGAATGCTCCCGCACACTCAGCCACAGGCTGAGGTGCTATATCAGACTTCAGAGAGAAATACAAGTAAGATATGAGCCTGGCCCTCCAAAAACTCACAGTCTCGTCAAACAGGAAAAGTCCTTTCATTTTCTGGATTTACTTTTCTTTTTTTTTTTCAAGGACTCCAGTTTGAAAGTTGTTTAACACAATAGTTCATCATCGTCTCCCTTTTACGTTTCAAGTCCTCTACTGACGCCTGCTCTTCCTTAAACTCAATCCAATTGTACTAAGTTTTCCTATAAGCAAAAGACCTGATACTTTATTGCTGAAGCACTGGCGGTTTTCCTGAACTGAAAGTACACAGATCTCAACTTGATGACCAGCTCTAACACTGCTGTTGCCTGCGAATGTTGTTACCGGGCAGGATCGCCTTACCTAGGCTAAGTCTAGCCCTGGGTACCACACGGGTCCTTTGTCTGGCCTTCTGGCACATGACAGGCTCACTGACAGCAGAGACACCTAATTGGAATTTTACTTTGGCAGTAAAAAAACTGAGAAGTGCTCACATGCTTTGTGAAAGAATTCTCATATGTGCTCATAAGCAAATGAATAGTAACAGTATGAGAAACATAGCGTTACCATGCCAGACAACTGGGTTAAGATTAGAAATGCATAATTTAGCAACCTTAAAAACATTAGAAACTAGAAAGACCATATTTTAAAGGCAGTGAATTCAATGGACAACCAACCATGAGTTGAACACCTAATAAATATGTCATGATGAAACCAAAATACACACACTGAACAGTACTACCACATCAAGATGCCATGAACACAAATGGGACAAGCACTTTACAACAAATCCAAAAGGACAGAAATTATGCATGCAAACACACTTGACACTTGTGGGTATATAAAAAAACAATGCTCTTATAGCAGAAGCATTCATGGATTAGGAACTTGAAGGTGACATCTGACCCAAGCATTCTAGGACTGGTAAGATGTAAGATGAATAGGGGGCGTAAAACAAACAGACCAAAAAAAAAGGAAATTCCACACAAACAGGGAACAAGTGGCAGACATCAGCAAATTTAGCTGATACCCCAAAGTGGCACTGGTTCAGGTTGCAGCTGCTCCACTTCCCACCCAGCTTCCTCTAACAGCCTCGGAAAGCGACAGAAGATGGCCCACATGCTTGGAGCCCTGCATTCATATGGGAAATCCAGAAGAGGCTCCTGGCTCTGGCCCTGGCCTAGTCCTGCCTGTTGCAGCCATTTGGAAGTGAGCCAACAAATGAAGATCTCCCTCTCTCAACTCTGTCTTTCAAACAAAAAATAGACGATCTTTCTCTGTCTCTCCTTCTCTCTATAGATCTGCCTTTCCAATAAAAATAAACAAATCTTAAAAAAAAAAAAAAATTGGGCCCAGCACAGTGGCCTAGCAGCTAATGTCCTCACCTTGAATGCCCTGGGATCCCATAAAGGCACAGGTTTTAATCCTGGCAGCTTTGCTTCCAATCCAGCTCCCTGCTTGTGGCCTGGGAAAGTAGTCGAGGATGACCCAGTCTTGGGACCCTGCACCAGCACAGGAGACTCAGAAGAGGCTCCTGGCTCCTGGCTTCAGATAGTGCAGCCCCAGCGGTTGCGGCCGCTTGGGGAGTGAACCCTCAGATGGAAGATCTTCCTCTCTGTCTCTCCTTTTCTCTACATATCTGCCTTTCCAATAAAAATAAATAAATCTTCAAAAAAAAAAAAAAAAAGAAAAAGTGTCTTAACTGAAGTCCACATATCCTGAAACCAGGAATATGGAAGATATTTTAACTATAAATCAAATTTCCCAAAATGAAATCTAGCAACAGAAAATTATGAAAATACAAAAATGCGAACTATATTACATATATATAAACATATAAATGATATTGTAGAATTACTGATAACTATCTGAGGTGGGATGATGGTAGTCCTATTAGAAAAGATTCTTAAATTCAGATTAATGCTGAATAATTAGGGCTCAAATGTCATGATGTCTGCAATTTACTTTCAAATAATACAGATAGGAAATGTATGTAGGATATGTAAACCAAATATGGCAAAATATTAACCACTGTTGCCTCTAAGGGAAGAATACATGAATGCTCTCTGTAGCATTTTTTCAGTACTCTGATATTTTTCATAAGCAAAAAGGGAAAATAAATGTATGGGGAAAAAAAAAAAACGCAGCACAAGCTATTGGTTCCACCCAGCGCAGAAGCAGGTACTACTGCTCTGCGGGGAGTGACCCAGCAGAAGGAAGATCCCTGTCTCCAGCAATCAAATAATGTTTTTTTAAAAATTACAGATAACAAGATACAAATAAATCAGAAAAATGTTTCCAACCATGATACAAATAATCAGTATTTTTTATGCGCAAATAACTTAATGATCTAGCAAACATGAATGTAACAAAAGTTGCAAAAATCACACAAAATGACAACAAAAATATGTAAATTGATCCCTCCAAAAAACTGAAAACATATTCAACTTATCACAGTTTATAGAAATGAAAACCCAAGCAATGTGATGTCATTTTTTTTTAAGATTTATTTATTTTATTGTAAATGCAGATGTATAGAGAGGAGGAGAGAAAGAGAGGAAGATCTTCCGTCCAATGATCCATTCCCCAAGCGACCGCAACTGCCAGTGCTGCGCCAATCTGAAGCCAGGATCCAGGAACTTCTTTCCGGGTCTCCCACGCAGGTGCAGGGTTCCAAG